TGAAAATCAACATGCAATCAATGAAGAAAGAAATGAGTAAGAATTATCTATGTTTATAAAATTTAGAGTATTCCCATGTAAAATTAACTTTCTAGTATCTATGTTCAGTTGTTGGAAGAATAAAGCTATCCAAATATAATCTACTTAAGAGTAATAATCATCTTTCATAGTTTTAAACATTTCAAGGCCCTTAATACCTCAGGCAGCCATCATAGATATCCACATGCTTATTAAGAAAACAGATGTCCACATTAGAAATATTTTAAAAGCTTTTTAAACATCCCAAGGCCCTTTAATACCTCAACTAACGTGCTTATTAACAGCTTTTCACATGCATTGTAACGTACTAAAGACTTTAAATTATAGATCAATCAAGATATCTTCAAAACTTCATATGGAAAAGATACCTATAACAACTTTACAAACTCGTTCAAGTTTTTTAGCAAGACGCATGCCATGCCCTCCACTACCCGCTGTTGTCTAAGAAGCAAAAATGTTTGACAGCTAACATTAATCGGCATATATTTTAGTCCTTTAATCATCGCAATGCGCAGTTGCACTTGAACATGAAAGAAATAAGAATTAAGAACTTTATGAAGGTCATTCAATCACCATCAACGTTCCCTTTAAATAATTATGATAGTTAGTTATTACTCAGTCAAGCATACAACTTTTTCTCATCTGAAAGATTCTAACGAATAAAAGACAACTCTTGGGTGATGAATACAACTACTTCACATCACATTATGGATGCAAACTAGAATGTCAATGCTGCTATAGTGTTTTCTTTAATAAAGGATGCTGAAACATGAATGATTCCTTTAGGGCCCTTAAGAACAAATTATCATAGAGTTCAATCAGAGGGGCCTGTATATTACATAAAGGAAATAGGAAGATATCAATAAAGTTGGTTAGACACAGCAACAAATCCATTTCTTTCTCTTTGATTTATTACATACCAGCCAACCTACTATTAATTCAGTTCAAACCTAGTACCCAGTGCAGGGAAAGGGAATAAGAAGAGTTGGAGTTATTAAATTGTGTTCAAGTCATAAATTTCTTAACTAGGGAAACTAATTGGGATCATCCCTCTACTGATGTAGTTTAAGAACTAGAAAGCTTGTCTTGAGGGAGTTGTAATTTAAAACTCTTAATACCACATCTGTAATTTAAAGTACTTCCATTAAATCCTAGGTTATAAGTAATTCAGAATAGAAAACCTTTTTTCATAACAAAGAGAAATATCTAGGCTTCAATTTTTAATAATAGAAGTTGCAGCTGCCATACCTTAAACTGGTAGCAAGGTAGCAGAGTCATTAGCTTGATTTTCTTGTTCCGCTTCTTTAAGACTCTAAACATCAAGCTCTAGATGGATTTTCTTCTTTAACATCTTCATCAACCTACAACATTACAAATTGTTTGATCAGCTGAATACATGCGAATCCCATATAATTGAATGAAACTCTCTTACTATGTTCCTTGAAAATAAAGGTTATTTTCATTAAATAAGTGTGAGAGCTAGAGGATTAACTTACTCGCTGTATATTAAGTCATGCACACAGAATTTCATATTTATATAGAAAGTAGGGTGCATATAAACTTGTATAGACTTTTAATATCTAGTATCAATACACTTTTGAAACAGAGACAGATATAGGAGGCAATACAATTGAATCATCAAGCCAGCCACCATGTAAAAGAAGGTTCTTATCAAATGAAGAACGTTTCGCCATTTGTAAGATTTTGTTACACTCAAGTTGTGGAGGTAAATTGAGCAGCATTGCAATAAGAGAAATAGCTTTAGCATACTCAGTTTCAATAAGAGTGATTCAAAATATTTGGAATCAAGTTAAGGAAATAGGTGATGCAACTCATAGAAAGATAAATAGGTGTGGAAGAAAGAGACATAATGTGAACATGGAAAAGTCATGGCAATTCCCGTACAGTAAAGAACTACTTATAGGTCTCTTGCAAGTGCGTTAGGGGTTAACATGACATCATTGATCAGACTAAAGAAAAAAGGAGTTCTATGGTGCCATACCAGTGCAATCAAATCACATTTGAAGGAGCAAAACATGCTTGCTAAATTGAGGTGGTGTTTGTCCATACTAGAACAAGAAAATATACCAAGTGATCTAACTTTTCAATCAATGCACAACAGAATCCATATTGATGAAAAATGATTTTACATCACAAAGAAATCTCAAACCTACTACTTGGCAATAGGGGAAGAGCCACCACATCAAACATGCAAAAAAAAGAATTATGTTGGTAACGTTATGTTCCTAGTTGCTGTAGCTAGGCCTAGATTTGATGCACAAGGAAATGAAATTTTTTCTAGGAAGATTGAGTTATTTCCATTTTTTACAAAAGAGGCAGCAAGGAGAAGGAGTGCAAATAGGAGCAGAGGCATAATGAAAACAAAACCAATCACGTCAATTACAAAAGAAGTGATGAAATCTTTCTTAATTGACAAGGTGTTACTAGAAATCAAAGCCAAATGGCCAACAAGCCATGCAAGTAAAACCATTTATAGTCAACAAGATAATGCTCCTTGTCACATTCATGATAGTGATATGGACTTTGTATGGCAACAAGTGATGGTGGGTTGATATTCGCTTGGTTTCCTAACCCTCAAGTTCCCCTAATTTAAACATTTTGGATTTTAGTTATTTTAGAGCAATTCAAGCACTACAAACACCAAGAAGCACCTAAAACTATAGATGACCTTGTCAAGGCTGTGGAGAAGTCATTTAAAATTTATACATCCAAGCAATTGAATAAGATCTGTCTAACACTACAAGCTATTATGATTGACATTATGAATGATAAAGGTTTAAATAAGTATAAGCAAGGTCATTTGAAGAAGGATATGATAGAAAGAAGAGGTGACTTGCCTAATCAACTTAAGTGTAATCCCTACCTAATTGAAAAAGTTTTGGAGTACTTAGCACAAGTGGATAGATGATGAGATTAAGGGGTGGATGTTTCTATGAATCCTCTATGTTTTGGTGATTAATATTTTGTGTTACAATTTGTCATGTAAATTGCAACATATAATATTAATAGTTAATATTTTGTAATAGATGCTATTGGTAATGAAAAATGATGTCAAAGAACCCCTAATCATAAAAGAATAAAATGATCAAAGTTAAACAATATTAAACAAAGAACCCTCGATCATAAATTTATTTTGTAAAGAAATAGTATTTATTTTGTAAACAAAGAACCCAGATTATAAAAGGAATAATATTTGTAATCAATTTATTTTCTAGTAGATGTTAGACAAAGAATATAAAGGAAGAAACTGATCAAAGTGATGAAAATCTGAAGCAATTGACATAAGAGAAATTAATTCACTAGTACTACTTGCTCATAAAACAACCCTTGTTTCGCCATATTTCACAACGATGCAATTTATGGAAAAAAACAAACTTGTTATCAAACAATAAAGACATTTCTACCTTTCCTCCCTTCGGCCTTTCCCATTTTGGTTCTGAAAAGTAACTCGGACAGGCTCTTACACAATCACAATTATATTTTTTTTTTGTGACAAATCTATAATTATATTTAACACAAAGCTACCATACTTAGTTTAGCTGCCAGTAGCCAGGGGCTTAGGTGGTTCACAGAAATCTCATGTTTAATATCAGTTGAATCATAACAGGGTACGAACAGAATATTACTACAAGAAGGATCATAACAGCATGCACATTTGATATCCTTCAAAATATAATTAGCACAACAGGATTAACACAATATAATATCATCATCCATCAGACTAACAGACCGTGAGCATCCCAGACCTACTTCTTAATTAGCATAAGCTTAAATTCTAGATTAACCTAAATTATACAAAAGGTATAGAAATTTGAGACAAATCAGAGCATATAATGTAAAGTGTCATACACAAATCGCTTACGGTCCTTCTCTTCCTCAGTCAGATGTGCATAGTCTTCCTTAGGAAATGGAAACTTGTTCAAGTCGAAAGGGTGGACTATCTTCTTCTTTTCACTTACTTTTGTGAACTCCAGCACTGTATCGTCATCACTCACTTTTTCACCATCCTCGACTGCCTCTTCGTTTAAATCAAACGAGTGAGCTTTATTCGCACACACAACCTCAGCGAAGTTAGAAGACATGAAGGAAGAACCATTCGGATAAGAAGCCCTCAAAATCTTTTGATTCAGAGAGTTTACCTCTCCAGAGAACTCGAGCGGCCGTGAATCTTCTTCCCCGGTAAGAGAATTGTCCACTACACATGCCATTAGTTGATCCCATGACATACCCTCAAAACGCTCCTCCATCAGACTTGAATGGTAAGATCCAGAGATATTGCACACCACAAAATGATCGGCGACACTTGTGCGAATAACAACAGAAGAGGAATTGCAATAGAGGAACAATGAGCTCGGTGGCGACGATGGAAGAGGCAATCGACAAAACCGAGCAAAGATGGTGAGAGAAAAGGACAAAGACAGAGTAAGAGAGAGGACGCCAGTAAAATGTCAGGTCAGCCGAACAAAGATGAGTAAAGTAGTCAGGGGTATTTTCAAAATTTCACTTTAAAATGGGAAGTCTTTAGCTGTCAGTTACTTATAATGGGGACTAGATATATCTTCTAGAAATGGTCTTATAATGCAGATCAGAGGGAGTATGTATATATATGTGTGTGTATTTATTTATATAATAAAAGATATTTTAATATACTCCCTCCATTAAAAAAATTAAAATATTTTTTAGGAGGTTGGATGTTAAAAAATATAAAATATTTTTAGCGTTTCAATGTATAATTGTTGCTTTTTTCCAAAAGTGATCTTATGAATAAAGCATTTTATATTTATTTTAGAGTGAAATATCCTATTAAATAAGAGTAAATATAAAAAGATAATGTTAGTTGGAAGATAAATTATTACTTTATTAAGGATGAGATTTGATTAAAAATACATTACATCTTTTAGTTGAGAAAGTATTAAAATTCTATAATTGTAGTAGTAGGGTTTTAGTTTTTTAAAATTCTATGAGACAGAGACGAGAAGACAAGCGTTTAGGTTGGAGGACTTCTCAAAATTCTTCACACCTCTACTCCTATATCCTTCACACTAATTTTTTGATATACCTAGTATCATTACATTTATATTCTTAAAAATGGGTGTATATAATATTACTAGTAAAAATAAAAAAAAAAGATATTTGAATATGAGATATGTATATTTCTCATGAATATTTTTTTTATTTTTGCATTTTTTTCTTTAGAGATTAATTGGCCAAGATGGATACATCAGTAGCTTGGAAATTGTAGAAACGCTGATAGAAACTTTGCACAATTGAACCTTTAAAATATTATGAATTGAGTTTAAACATTTCAAAATTTTATGTGAAAAAAATTGTACATCAATAGCTAGAGAGTCCATTTATTTTCGGATGAACAACAGGCTTTCAATTTTCTTTGGAAGGGACAGTAACCTGCAAATTAGAATCAAAGCATTGAATATCACCTGTAAGGTTGGATTTATTAACGAGGATATAGCTCACTAATTGAGACTTCATTTTTTGAGCCTTCGACAGAGTTGCTTCTCCTTTCACTTGATGTTGTTACCCTAGATGAGCTATATTCCATTGAGTTCATCTCTGATAAGCTACTGCTATTTGTTAAAAATGGAGGTTGTGATGGTAATGGCAGAGAGAGAGAGTGGCTACTTAGCATAAGTGAGACTGAAGCCATTGTTGGCCTATCAGCTGCATTTTCCTGAACACATAGTAACCCAATGTGGATGCATCTCATCATTTCATTTCTTGATCCATTGTTTAACATAGGATCTATTACATTTGAGGCAGCCCCTTCCCTCCAACTTTCCATGCCTTGAAAAAACATCCTCAATATCTTAGTATTCACTATTATTTCACAATCGTTATGCAACTTCTATGTATATTAGAAAAAGGCATAGACTTACAAAGCTTAGCAGATCATCATGTGAATTCTCTCCATGAAAGGTGGAGCTGTTTTTCTTCCCACTTATAACTTCTAAGAGTAGGACACCGAAACTAAAGACATCGATTTTATGGAGAATTGTCCACGCATTAAATACTCTGGAGCCATATATCCACTGCATGCCAATTATGAAGAAGCTTGAAATGTTATTTTGTCTTGATGATCTAGAAGTTTGTTTCTTTAATTTGACAAGTTAAGACTTGTAATACTTACTAGGTTCCAACTATTCTACTAGTATTGCTTTGCGTTTGATCTATAACAAACAATATTGCCATACCAAAATCTGATATTTTGGGATTCAACTCTTCATCTAAAAGAATATTACTTGCTTTGAGATCACGATGAATAATTCGTAGTCGAGAATCCTCATGAAGATAAAGAAGACCACGAGCAATGCCCACTATAATCTTGTAGCGTAACTCCCAATCTAGTTTAGCACGTTGACTTGGATCTAAAATTCCAGTCATATATGATGTTAGAGATCCCTATAGTGAAGCTATTGCAATGAAATTAAAATTAACACACTACCATGTATGAGCAAGTTTACTGCAGGTTTGATCTTTACTGCCTTCTTTTTTATTGAAATTGAATTTCATGACACAGGGTAAAATTATATACTTCACACTTTAAGCCCACAAAACTAATAGGATTTTAACACAAGTGAGAGAGACAGAACACAGATTAAGTAAGCTAAAGTAGATATAACTTACCAAATAATAAATAGTCAAGGCTTTTATTGGGAAGAAACTCATAAACGAGTAGCCTTTCTCTTCTTTCCAAGCAGAAGCCAAGGAGTCTCACTAAATTGCGATGCTGAAGCTTGGCCACCAACATTACTTCATTCTTAAATTCTATATCTCCTTGTCCAGAATTCTTGGATAACCTTTTGACAGCAATTTCTTCTCCATTGTAGAGCTTGCCCTGTAATTATCAAAGTTGGAACCTACATGTCAGTATACATATATTTTCTACAAAGTGATGAAATCCCATCCTCACATTGTTATATTATGATCTACCTTGTAGACTGGTCCAAATCCACCTTGTCCAAGTTTATTTCCTTCAGAAAAATTATCTGTTGCATTTCTGATGGTTTCGAAGTCTAGTTGCAATGAGTCTGTTGGTTTAATTTCATCCTCAAGTTCAGCTTCATCATCAGCTGCGAAATAAGGAAAACAAGTAAGTTGTCAAAAAATATATATATATATATTTAATTTTTTGAAACAGCATATCACAAGAACTGCTGAAGAGATCATCAATCTGACTTACTATGAATGGTCTCTCTGGGTTTCCTCATTCTAAAATAAATGAAGATAGAGATGATCAGTATGATTATTGCAGCAATCGGCACAACAACAGCAATGATGGTTCTTGATGCTTTGTCATCCCCTGAAAAAGCCAAACATCTGATGATGAAATTAATTTTATAAAAAATAGTAGTCCATGCTTTCAGTATTATAAAACACATTTTCTAAAGTATTTTATTTTTTAAAGTATTAATTACATTTTTGAAAAATTCAAAATTTACATTTTAAAAAATTTAAAATACCTTATATTTCTAAGGTATAGTAGGGGTATATATTAGGTAAAAATATCTTATAATGGAGGGACTAGATTTTTTTAAACCAAAAAGGTAATTTTTTTTAGATGAAACTGTAGCTAAAGTTTCATCTCATGTCATCTCTCTTCAAGAAAATTTAAATCTTGATTTATTATGTTGTAAAATGTTAACCTTTTGACTAAACCGTTTGGGCCCAAAACCACTAACTCATTGAAGTGAACCTAAGGCCCACAAATATTACAATTTCTCAAATATTATTCACTTGAACTAGAGTAAACAGGCATTGTTCACACACACGTTACATATTTCACATTTAAATAAATATTAGCTATAAATTTATACTAAAGTGCATTATATATTAAGTTTTAAAGAGTTCGACATATATATTGCTTGAATCCCGTGCAATATATGGAGCCCAATATCTAATCAATACATATTTTATAATATAATATCAAAATGCATGGATAAGATATTTGATCATACAAAAATTAGTAAAAATTATTTACGCGCTATACTAAATTTATTTGAAACCTGTTATGCCAAAACACAGCTTTACAGGTACGAGAGTTATAAACAAGTTTAACTATACCAATTTTGGGAATTAAATAGATAGATAGATAGATTTCATTGATTTGTCAATTTTTAATTAAGTTGAAGCTATACTGATCCGCTCCCTCTGTTCTTGTAGATAAGAAATCTTTTAAAAAAATTTTTACCCTTAAATATAAGAGATTGTTAGTATTTTTTTAATGAATGAAGTATTATATTCTTTTTAAATTAGAAAGAGAAAAAGATAGGTACTTTCATTAATTTATTTTAAAAAAATTATTTTTTATTTATAATAATTAAAAATAAAAATAATATATTATTATATTTTTAATTAAATAATTAATTTTTATTAATTTGTGTTTTTTAATTAAAAATATTTTATATATAAAAATAGAGGGAGTAGGATTTTATTGTCAGGGACACTTGTAAGGATATTGCTATCAATAATTGAGGCTGACAAGTTGGATGGTACCTGTTGGAGGAAGTAAAGGAGACGATGGTGGTGGTGAATCCTCGGCCACAGGTTCGAAGAATCTGTAGTTCTCATACCTAATATTGCAGCTGGGTTTGATGACCCTGCCACCTGTCTTTGTGGAACAACATTTTGGAATTTCTGAGATCGCCGCCGTCAAGCAGTCGGAGCATTCTTGCTCAGACAAGTCAAGAGTGCACTGAACTGCCCCAAATGCGGTTTGAAAATTGCCCGCCGATTCATTTGCTGCTGCATACTTGCCAAGTGAATCTCCAGCCGCAGCTTTTATTCTCAGTCGACCCAACAAGTCGCTGACCACTTTGTTGTAATTTTCCACGTCTGTTGCGTTATTCGGATTCCACAAGTAGATTGAAACGTCTGTTTCCATGACCCCAAATATTGAACGGTTTGAGTATCGCAGAAAGCATTCGTCATAGCCTCCCATGGCCTCCTTCCGATTCGGACACGACTTTGGGACGAGAATTGAGGCATTGTTGAGGCAACTACGACATTCGTTTGGTTTAACATCTCCTCTACACAACCCAATTAAGCTAACTCTGTCTGGACTTTGACCGTGGGAGAAATTGTAGAAGCCATAGTCAATTTGTGTGTTGGAAGTGAGCTCTGAAACAAGGATATTGAAGCTGCTTTGGTACGTGCTCGTATTTGTATAGTTACCTCTATCGTTGAAACAAGAGGCATATCTCAGGTCAGGCTGGGCAGTGAGAATGGGAAGATAAGTAAGGAATGAAAGAAGAAGTAGCGGAGAAATGGTAGGCATGGCAGATCAGGCGGTGATCAGATATGGATTTTCTTTTTTAGACTTCTTCTGTTAGTTATATATATATATATATATATGCACCAACAAAAAGTAAATATTACCTCAAGTTTCATCTATATAAAGCAAATCACACATAACTCCCTTAAAAATTTTCTTTGCCCCCAATCCCAAAAAATGCTTGTTTTAACCCGTTTAGTTTTCAAAAAAACATGAAACATATATATCTAAAAATATATTTATCTATTATATTGGTTATAAAAATATACTAGTCCTTTAATAAATGTTATTTTTATATTAATTTAACAAATATTTAGAATTATATTTTTATGAAATTTTAATATTAATATTTGATTTAAATTTTCTCCCACTAATTAAATTTTCTAGGTCTATCACTTATTAACACATGGTTAGTGTGCATGTACATGCATATATATCTCTCTTAACAGTGAAGGGCAATTTAGGAGTAAAGTGTTTAAAAAACATATACTCAGCAATATGCAATATTTACAAGTGCAGTGGACGAGATTAATTAATTGAGGCTAGTTCTCAGAATTAGTCAAAGTTGAAAGCGACTGAAGTAGTTGACGGCAGGCCACTCTATTGGAGGTTTTTTTTTTTGAGGAAAACACTCTATTAGAGTTATTCATCGCTCTACTACGAACTAAACGCGTGGAACGTTCTACTTTAGGGCAAATTTCAGTCAGGAACCTTGACCAAACTTAACCAAAAAAAGACCCCAGATTTTCTGAAACTTTTATACAGAATTTTTGTTGAATTTGTGACAAAAATAATAAAATTGACCTCATTTTAATGAATAACATAAATGATTTATTCATTCTCATATTTTTAATTATTCATTTATTTATAAAATGTTATTCATTTTCTTATTTTACTTATTTATAAACCTAATTTTACTTAATTTCATTTTGTGTTGGTTTTATGATAAGATGACTTGTTCATTTTCATACTGTATATTGTTCATTTACTTACAAAATATTATTTTTTTTCTACTTTACTTGTTTATAACCCTTGAAATAAAATTAAGTGAAAGTAGGCCTATAAATAAGTAAAATAAAGAAACAAATAACAGTTCATAAGTAACTGAACAATATATAGTATGAGAATGAATAAGTCGATTTAAATGAAGGTAATTTTATTATTTTTGTTATAAATTTAATAAAAATTTTATACAAGACCTTCAGTAAAGTTTCAAAAAAATTTAATTTTTTTTCATTAAATTTAATCAAGGATCACTGATTGAAATTTTTCTTCTACTTTACCCTTTATCTTAACTCCGAGAAAGGCATTGGAACTTTCTACTTTCCACCCTCGCAACTGTATAAAGTCCTTTATTTATTATTATTACTATTTTTTGATCCAAAATATTGAAAAGTATGTCACGTTTGCAACGCATAGTTGTGTTAAGATGGGACTGATTTGGGCAGTCAAACTGATCAGACGTCAGCCGTTCATGAAGACTGCTCAGTTTGGGCCATTAACCCGCTCCGCCAGTTCAGCCATTTCCGATCGCGTTGACATGGTTTTTAAATGGCCCAGGTGGGCCTGGGCCATTTAAAAAAACAATGACAGTTAAACTTTAAAATATTAAATTAATATCAATTATGATAAATTTTTTAAAAAATAAATTAAAAATATTTATTTAAATTATTATAAATCCATAAGTTTTAATTATAAATGAGTATTTAAAATACTAAATGTAACTTTTAAATTATAATAAAAATTTTTGTTTATAATTGTTTAAATTGATATTTATAATTTATTTTGTAAAATTTTTTATCAAAAATTTAATTATTATTAATTTATTCTTTTGGGATCTAATTATTATTCTCCCACCATCTAAACACTACAGAAAAGAAAAAAGATAAAGGGAAGTGATAAAGAGAGAAGATGAAAATGGAAAAATAAAAAAGATTTAAAGAAAGATTCAAAATAAAACATTTTACAACGAACCATCACTCTCAACGCGTTTTCCTAGTCACAAACCGGCTAAATCTACTATCAAATTGTTAGATTAATTTGAAGAAAGTCCGAATATTGTGAGTGAGAACTGTGCAACCGCAAAGAAAAATTTGAAAGAAGACGAACAAAACAAAAGGACGGAGAAAAGATTCAATGTGTTAGATTTTTACACGTTGAACAAATAGTAACATCAATTCATTACCCATTCTCTATTTTCGTGGCACGCGCATTTAATATTAAACAATGTTAAAGAATGGGAAAGTGGAAGAGGCGGGAATATAGAATAAAAAAAGGGGGAGAAAAGATATCTTTTTTTTATTGGCCAATATAAGAGGTTTTGAAAAGAAGGATTAAAATTGATATTATTAAATGCTATTTGATTTTTATGAGATTCCTATGCTATTTATGCAAAATAGAGAGATGCAATAAAAGCTATTTTAAGTTAAGAAATTAATTATAGATATTTTATAATTTTTGTCTATAAATGAATAATTTTATTTCATTATAGATTTATTATATATTTTTATATGTATATTATTTAAAAATATTAAATTAAGATAATTGGTTCAACCTTTACTGCAAAAAAATAAAAAGGATAAATTTTAGTAGATTCTATAACAAAATACTTTCTTATTTGGTGAGTAAGTTATAAGAGTAAAAATATATAAATATTAGATAAATATATATATGAAATATTAATAAATTTAATTAAATACAATCCAAAATATATTCCTCTTTATTTATAAAATATACAATTATCACATATATTATTATATAACACTCTAACATCTCTCTCTGTCTCCCTCTCTCTCTCTCTATATATATTTATATATTAGTTTATTAACACTATTTCATGCCTCTCACAACTACTCCCTCTTTTTTATTGCATATAAATATTTTCTTATCAGAGATAATCTCATTTAACACACAGTTAAGAATTAAATTTGGACAATTTTTTAAATAAAGATCCAAATCTTGATAGGGATGTACCCATGTTGGGCATAGAGGGACAATTTCTCCCACTAGAAAAACATTGACTCCCCCTTTGAAATTACAATTTCCCCCTATAAAAAAATCAATTACCTCATACTCTCTTTAAAATTATCAAGTATATATATTTAAAAATAATGTTTACTCTAATATTTATTATAAAAATTTATGATACAAATGAAACTAAAATATATTCTTAAACTTTTTATATAATTTATTTATATATTGCTTTAATTAATATTTAGAATTATATTTTGTTAAAAAATCAATATTTATATTTAGTGAGAAAAAAATAGGGTGATAAGAGAGACAATATTTAACGTTAAGGAACATAATTGACTCTTATTTAAGTTAAAGATACACGTATACCAACCCTTTAGGAAAAAGTTAAAGGGTAAAAATGACCCTTAATGAAATGGAATAACGCCAGCTAACACCAACGTTATGTCATTCATTTCCACTAATGATCATATATCCATTTTACATAAATGTTTAGCTCAATAACAAGCATTAGTCCTTTTACTAATTTCAATTCTCTATCTCAGTAGTATAAATAGGATATTTTACACTGTGTATGGGACGAACAAAGATTGAGAGAAATAAACTTCTAAATTTCTTTTCCTTTTATGGGTTTTGTACCATTTTTTTTTGTATCAGAGCAGGTTCCCAGAGATCCAGAGAGTAAGAAAATGAGGTGAGAGTTGAGGGATTATGTCGAAGAAGAGAGAGATTTAGATGAGAAGTCCCTAATGTCTTCGAAACTTATAATCTAGATGTCTTTTTCCAAAAATTGACATTACCAACATGCTTAAGAGATTTGAAAAAGTGGAACAAGAGGTTCCCCATCGCCATACGACACTGCACTCACCTTCAAGTACCAATGCTGGAGACCTACACACTGTCACTGCCAATCCACGTATCACACGCACTTGCTGAAGGTTGAAGACGTTGACATCATTAGCCACATCAACTTCTCTAACCAATCAACAACAGGTTAGCCCATTCAAAGATCACCACGTGTAAGACTGCCACATCATCTTGCCCCCTTAACTCTATTTTCTTAAATTGCAGTTTGAACCCTAACCTTTCACTATTTTCATTTTGACTCCTAAACTTTTTAAAATTCCATTTTGACCCCATATTTTTCTCAAAAATTATGATTTGACATCATAACTTTACATCAATTCCATTTTGACCCTATATTTTTTGAAAATTACACTTTGACCCTTATAGTTTCCAAAATTACATATCTGCCTTAAAATTCCTGAAATTTCTCTTTTTACCCTTGTACTCTCGTAAATTACATTTTTTCCCTTATATTTGCTTTCCTAAAGTCCTAACCTTATAGAAAAATTTCAAGATGCCCCCAAGATGCAGGAATGTGCACAAGGTTGAGTTGGAATAGATGAAACGTAGAATACAGGAGTTGGAAACTACTGTAGAAATACAATGAGCTTTATTAGAAACTAATAGAGAAAACCTAGAAGGAGATTTGAGAAGCAACAGTTCATCATCTATTGACAACCACTACCATCCTTGACAACAATCATTCCATCCTAATGACATCAAGGTTGACATTCCTAAATTTGAGGGAACACTTCAACCAGATGAGTTCATAGAGTAGCTTCAAACTTTAAATGTGTATTTGAATATAAGGAGATTTCAAATGCACAGAAAAGTCAAGATTGTTGCCTTAAAACTCAAGAAACATGCCTCTATGTGGTGGAAAAACATTGGGCTAAATCGCAAACGTAAAGGAAAGCACGAGATTGAGACCTAAGAAAAAATAAGACACCAGCTCACTAAGAAATTTTTACCAAACTATTACCACTAGGATAACTTTCTCCAGCTGCAAAATCTTCAATAGAGGTCCTTGTCTGTGGAAGAATATACTAAAAAGTTTGAGAAACTCATGATGAATGTGACATTCAAGAGAAGGATGAGCAGATAATAGCCTGACACCTTGCAAGCCTAAATGCTGACATCAATCGCCTAGTCCAACTTTAACAGTATTAGACCTTGGATGACATCATCCGTCTAGCCATTTATGTTAAAAAGCAGATGCCCAA